TTTTGGCCAAGGTGCAAAAATCATAATTATGGTTCTGTAATATACCACCTAGAGTTAAAATACACATACATACACACTTTTATTTTACATTTCAGCCATTTCACAGGGAGTCTGGCAAATACAATCAACCAAAAAAAATTTCATAATTACTTTTTGTTGTTGTTGTTGAGTTGTTTCAGTATGTCTAACTCTTCATGACCCCATTTGGAGTTTTCTTGGCAAAGATGCTGGAGTGGTTTGCCATTTCCTTCTCCAGCTCATTTTACAGATGAGGAAACTAATTACTTAGAAGAGTTTTATAAATACTAACTATACTCTGGGTAACCCCAACCAATCACATATTTAGCATGTTCCAAAGCAGAGGTGTCAACTAAACTTCCTTGAACCAGATTAAAATGTAATTGGGAAATAATTAACTAAATAAAAATGCAACATAGATAATGGTTTTCTAAACATATGGTTTTCTAAGATAATATGCAGCCAGCAAGGCTTTTTATTTACAATTTAGTGAGCCTGTGTCTATTTGACACCACTGCTCTAAAGCACTGCTTTAGCACTGCTCTAAAATTTTTTAAAGATATTTAATTCATATTAAACTTTTGTTTAAATATTAATAATCAGTGAAAAGTTTTTGGATAGCAATCTGGAAGTACATTTTACAGTTCTTTCTCTGAAGCCACACTGCTCACTGCTGCAAATGTGGCCATCTAACATCAGTTGCTTGATTCAGTTCTGGGCTCAACACATTCACTTGTAATGTCTGTCCAAGATATATACAACGCTGATGGATGAGATCCATGGTTTGTACATTCAGCTGCCCATTATAATCCATACCTTTCTCCACTTGGTTTTTCCTATGTGGATAGTTAAACTTATTTACAAGGTATTACAATGTTTTAGGGCTTGATGCAATCAGTATATTATATGCAAACAAGAGTATCTGTAGGATTTTACTATTTATAGGGAATCGCTGGATCTATAGGTATCCTAGAGGTGAGAGGGAGCCACTCAGATGTGTTGAAAGTGGATGACGTGGTCAGATTTGTGCTTTAGAAAGATCACATTGAGAGCTGGATGGGGGACAGACCAGAGTAGGGAAACTAAACAGTAGGCTATAGCAATAGTCCAGGCATGAGATCATGGCGGTGGCAGTGTCAGAGGAGTGAAGAGGGCATATACAAGAGATATTACATAGGTCTTGTTGTATGCAATTGTATACAACTGTTAAAGACTTACAAGAGATTGGATATGGTGAGGGATGGTGAGAGTGAGTAATAAAGAATGACACCTAGGTTTAAAGCTTTGATGACTGGGAGGATGGTGATGCCTTTGATGGGAATAGTAAAGTTAAGAGGAGGGGAGGGGTTAGTGGAGAGATAATGAGTTGTTTTGGACATGTTGAACTTAATATGCCTATAGCATACCTACTTCTAGATGTCCAATAGGCAATTGGATAAGTGATACAGGGGGTCAAGAGAGAGGTGAAGGCTGACCATGTAGATGTAAGAAACATTTGCATAGAGATTAATAATGTAATCCATAGGAGCTGAAATAGTACAGAAGGACAAGAGGGCTTAGGACAGAGCTTTGGAGGACATCTGTGGTTGGTAGGCATGTACTGGATGAGGACCCAGAAGACTGAGGAGCACTTAGACAGCAGGAGGAGAATCAGATGAGAGCAGTGTCATTAAAAAAAAAAACCAAGAAACCTAGAGAAGAGATTACTAAGGAGAAGGTGATGATCAACAGTGTCAAAGGCAGCAGAGTCAAGAATGATGAGGTCTGAGAAAAAGTCATTCAATCTGGCAGTTGAGAGATCATTGGCAACTTTGGAGAGAGCAGTCTCAGCTGAATGGTGCCAGAAGCCATACTATATAGCTGAGAGACTGAGAATAGAAGGAAACAGACTTTAGATGGCCTTCTCAAAATTTAGTCATGAAAGGGGAGAGAGATATAGGATGATGGCCAGGGATGGAGCCATCAAGTGAAGCTTTTCTGAGGATGGAGGAGGTATAGGCATTTTAGTAGGTGGCAAGGAAATCGCCAGTAGACAGAGAGAGATCAAAGGTTAAGGAGAGAGTGAGGATGATACAATGGGGCAATCGGCTAGAGAAGGCAGGATGGAATATCCACGTAGAGGCATTTTCCTTGTCAAGAAGGGCCACCTCTTCATGTAAGATGGGGTGGCAGAAGGCATCTAAATGAGGGGAGAGGAGCAGCTAGGTGGCATGGTGTATAGCGCACTAGCCCTGGAGTCAGGAGGACCTGAGCTCAAATCTGGGCTCAGACACATAACACTCACTAGCTGTGTGACCCTGGGCAAGTCACTTAACCCCAACTGCCTCACCAAAAAAAAAAAAAATATGAGGGGAGAAAAGGAAGCTCTGAGAATTCTTCAGTGAAATAGGAGGCAAGGTTCTCAGCTGAGGGTGGGACTCCTGAAGAGGGATGAAAAGATTTAGAAATGCCTGGAAATGCCCTCCCTCTTCCATTCTGACTACTGACCTCACTGGCTTCCTTTAAGTCTCAACTAAAATCTCCTTCTACAAGAAGCCTTCCCCAACTCCTCTTAATTATAGTGCCTTCTCTCTATTATTTCCTATTTATCCTGTATCTAGCTTGCTATGAGTATATATATATATACACATATATTTGGGGTTTTCTTAGCAAAAATAGTGGAGTGATTTGCCATTTCCTTCTCCAGCTCATTTCACAGATGAGGAAACTGAGGCAAACAAGGTCAAGTGATTTACCCAGGGTTACACAGCTAATGAGGCCAGATTTGAACTTGGGAAGATCAGTCTTCTTCACTTCAGGCCTGGCACTCTATCCACTGTTGTGGACCCTGTTAGCATAAGCATCTTGTATAAATTTAGGCATGTAGATTTAACAGAAGGATAAGAACAGGCTAGATTGCCTTTGGGAAATGGAAAAATTATCTTAACAATCCTAAACTTCTCTCTGAAACAAAGGCCTGACTTCTTAATACCCATTTTCTTCCAGTGGTGGCTTACGGCTGTATCATGGAACACTTCAGTCTCTGCAGAATTCAAGCTGAAGATCACTGAATAAGGAACATCGGCATAGGATAGTGGAAATGACATCAAAGACGTATCTAAGCAGAAAAAGATGCTGAGCTGGCTGTTGGTGAGTGAAGAAGAATCCACGTACATTATCATTAGTATACTTCACTTGTATCCTCATTATGTTGAGAGAATTTGAAGAAGCCCTCCAGCATGCTGAGTTGAGTCCCTGGACAAAATTAAGGGAGGACATACAGAATGGGTTGCAATCTTCATCACTGGAAAGAACATCCGTCCTAAGAGGGCCAAAAGTTTAGTTCTTTTTACTACTCAAATAACCAAATATCATGCCCCTAGACAATCTTATGCACTTAAAAGGATTGTACTTAACCCTTTTACTTCTACAAACATTCACTGTGTAAGCACAAGTTCCTGTGAGGAAAAATACTAGCTCTGTCAGAACTTGTTTAGTTCAAGTTCCATATCTTGCACTTAAGGAGTGAATACATGTAATCACGTAACCTCTTTCTAGATGACTGTTTCCTCATCTGAAACAGGAATAATACTTTCATCATCTAGCATGTCACAGCATTGTGTGAACATACCTTGTAAACCTAAAGTTCTGTATAAATGTGAATTTTTCTTCTGGATAGAAGCTTAAAATAATTCCTGCCCTCAAAAGACTTAAAATCAACCAAGACAGCAGACAAAGGATGCAAAGGCAAAGTTAAACAGCAATTAAACCATCTGATTTGTCTTTTCAGGTAAGACTCATGATAGTTTAAAAAAAAAAAAAAGGAAATTCTGCCTTGTCTTCTTGTTTGGGACAAGAAAGAATCTGAATTCCACATCTAGTAAAAAATGTTTCAAGTTTGCAAACTATAGAAATGCTAACACAATAGCGCTTAAGTCTAATCCTGGAAAACAAAACACCCTGAAGAGCAATCTCACCCACAATTCTGGCAAACTTATTTTGTGGTTATTTTTCAATCATGAATTCTGCAGCTGACTTGGAAAAAGGCTGAAAAAAAGACAACTTTTAAAGTAAAATAGTATGGCTGAACTGAAGCCAAACACAATTTATTTACACCAAATGACAATGAACGTTAACTGAGACTAGTATATAAGTATTTCCATAAAACAGCCCTTTCTATGGAATGTTTTATTTAACAAATCATTTTTAAAGTTTAGAATTCTCAAGCATAGAGATAATTCATAACGAAACAGTTTTTATAACAGTTTTTTTTCCCTTTATCTACCAGTTTCATTTCGGAAAACAATTTTCAAATTAAATTGAGTTAGTGAATTATAAGAATTTTACTTAAAATGTTGAGCTGTGCATAGGCAAACACATCTTACAATATAAAGGTAACAGACTTTTACACTTAGCAGGCCTTTAGGTCATATACTAGCCCCAAATGATAAGGAATTTCAAGGATTTAAAGTTCATTAGGTATACAATATTAGATCTAAATTTTAGGTTTGTTCCATTTCTAACAACTACAAGGGATTTGTAACTACATGAAGTGAAAATACAATGAAAAATTGTAAAGATATTAGCAGTAAAGAGCTAAGAGCACTTCATAGGCAAGGGACCTGGTTATAACTTGAAGGCCATACATTACACTACTCACTGTAGCTTTGGAAGGTTCACCCACAAAACTAAACATAGTTTGGCACAAAGACATTGTCTGTTTAGGACACAGTAAAAATTTGCACAGCAGAATTGATTAAGGACTGTGAATTCGGAGAGGGAAAAAAAAGGAAGTAAAACAACTGAATTCAAATTGCCTGCTAGCAGTTCATAGGATCTCTATTTCATCTCTATTTTATGAACAATTACATCATAGGATTCTTCTCCACTATGAGCCAAGAGTTTTGCTTTTCCAAATATGACATTTCCAAAATTACAAATTAAACAAATCCAATAGTACATTAAAGAAGATAAATACTTGAGAAGTTGAGAGGAAAAACAACTTTTAGGCAATTTTGAAAATAGTTTATTACAAAATATGATACAGTCTTTATAGATTTGTGTCCCAATCCCCCGTAAGTCACACATCTTGAAGATTGTAAAATATCTATGCAAATGCCCATACAAATCTAAGCTGTACAATACTTTCAATCCTCTTACATTTACAGAGCAGTTTGTCAGGCAGTATTATAGTGGAGTAGAAACAGGCAAGTCACTCTGTGGACATCTGGCATTCTTGCAGGTAGCATGATTCAAATGGTTTTTTTCAAGCAGATCCAAACAATGCAATCGTTGAGAATCCACCACAGTTTAGTGATCAAAACCATACTGGAGTGAGGAAGAACAATCTAGCTCAACACAGGGTTTTGTACTTGTTACTTCTTATTTCTGGGCTTTAACTCTTCTGCTGCGTTACGTAGAAAAATGTAATTTTTCTTTTGGGGATTGTAAAATTCATGTCCCTAAAAAGGGAGGAAATATCAGTTATATTAGAAAAAAATTATTTTTTAAGAATTCAATTCTTAAACAAGCAACAGTTTAATTTAATAAGAATTGAAAATAGCCCCAGAATGTTAAATGTTCACCTACAGGCACAGCTCCTTGCTGTTTTCTTTTCGAGATGTAGGTCTAATACAGTTAATTAAGACAAAGGCCTGATTCAGTCTCTTCAGAGTTAGAAAATCTTCAAAACACTACAAATTTCATCTTAAATTTCTTCATGTTATGGAATAAGGTCAAACAGTAATTGATTTTATTTATCCAGGTAATAATATAAAATTTATGCCAGAACTTATAAACTAAGTTTTAAAAAATGTATATACTGAAAAACCTAATTTTTTTTAGTTAAAGTTGGAATGAATCCTTACCTTTGACCAGTCATAGCTAGAGGCATATGCAAATATGTTTCCATTGTGATTGAAACAACAAGCTGAAATTGGCTGATCTAATTGTTCCGAGGTTTTTAGTTTTGTCCTTGCATCTTTGTCCCAAAAGCTGAATCTACCATCAGATCCTACAGTTGCAAGAGTTCCATGAACAGGATGAAATGCTATCCCATTCACCTGCAAAGAATTGTATATATTATAAGAAAGAGAAGGCAGAATAATAGCGAGCAGAGACATTTTCAATATATGTGGCCCAAACCCTTAGGCTTAAATTGGAAAGACAAGAGGAAATTTTAAAATAAATATTTAAAAGTATCTATCAGAAGGTCACTATCATTCTAGTGTTAGCCACTCTGGGTATGAAAGACAAAAATGAAATCAAACCTGCTGTCAAGAAAGTAAATAAAAACATGTACAAAATAAAGACAAGGTAATTTCAGGGACAAGGGAGGCTCTGGCAGATAAGGGGATCAGAAAAGACCTCCTTAAAGAGGAGGTGCTTGATCTGAGCTTTGGAAGAAAACTGGAGTATAAGGAGGGAACACATTGCAGGCACAGGAGATGTCTGAGCAAAGCCACAGGAGAAGGAATGCTGTGCCTAAGGAACAGGAAGTAGGCCACAGTATGTGAGGGGGAAGTAATGTGCAATAAGCCTGGAGCTAGAAGCCAGTTAGAGGCAGACTGTGAAGGGCTTTTTAAAATTACTAACAGTGGAGCTGGTGGTATATCCTGGAGGCAACAGGGAAATGATGCTTCTTAAGTAGCGAGCAGCATGATTAAAATTTATGCTTTAGGAATATCAATGTGGCAAGTGTGGAGAAAATCACCTGGAGAAGAAAGAAACTGGAAGTGAGAAGACCAATTGGGAGGCTATTCTATGAGTCTAGCTAGATGGTGGCCATGGGAGTGAAAAGAAGAGTACAGAGGCAAGAGACACTGTGAAGGTAGAATCTACAAGAATTATGAACAGACTGGGTATGGAGGGGAAGGAAGAAGAAAGAGTAGAGAATCAGTCCAAAGTTGCAAACTTGAGTGAATGGAAAAATGGTGGCACTTTTAATCAAAAACCATTTACTGAGTGCCTGGTCCTAAGCTAGGCACCGGGAACACAAATTTTTAAAAAAGTAAATATTCAACAAAAATAGAGAAGTTAAGAAAGGTAAGAGTGGAGTGGGGATAATGAGTTCTACTTTGGACATGTTGAGCTTGAGATGTCTAAAAGACATCTAGTTCTAAATGTCCAACAGGCAGCTGGTGATGAGGGGATGGAGCTAAGATCTAGGAATCATTTACACAGAAAGACTAATTAAACCCAAGGGCTGTGATGAGGTCACCCAGCAAGAGAAGAGAAGAGACTGCAAGGCAGAGAGGAAGGCAGATGATATGGATGGTGACTCTGCAAAACCAGTATATATACCTTCATAAAGTAGACTTTTATGTACTTTTATGAAGTAGACTGTATAAGACTTATAAGTACTTTTATAAAGTATTTATATAAAGTAGACTGAGAGTAATCAGGTAGGAGGAGAATCTCAAGAGAACAGTATCATGAAAACCTAGAGAGGATATTCAGGAAAAGACAGTGGCAAATGCTGCAGGGATGTCAAAGACAGAAACTGAGAAAAGACCATCAGATTTGTCAATTAAGAGATCGCTTGTATCTTTGGAGAGAGCAGTTTCAACTGAATACTGAGGTCAGAAGTCACACTGCAAATGGTTAGGAAGTAAGAAGAAAAATGGAGGCTACAGATAACTTTTCCTTGGCTGTGAAAGAGAACTTCAAGGAGATGATACTGTCAAGTGAACGCTTTTATTCCATTCATTTTTAAGAATGGGAGATATCTAAGCATGTTTGTAAGCAGCAGGGAAAGAGCAAGTACATAAAGAGAGAATAGGCAAAGGGTGATGATTGCAGGGTCATTATTCATTTAAACACAGAAGAAATACAGTAGTTGTAGTGTTCTTCAACTACACAGTGATTTTCATCTTACCTTGCATGTGGGGATGTGTGTACAGAAGCTATAGCTTTTAGATATAACTTAAAAAATTATAGGGGCGGCCCTGAAGTCAGGAGGACCTGAGTTCAGATCCGGCCTCAAATCAAACACTTGACACTTACTAGCTGTGTGACCCTGGGCAAGTCACTTAACTCCAAATTACCTAAAAATAAAAAAAAATTAAAAAAATTATAATCACTTTCCCTAAATACTTACAGCATAGATATCTTGAGGAGCTGAAGTATTAGTTCCATTAGAACGATGACATTTAAAGGTGAAGTTATCTTTGGCACTGAAAGAGAATGTTATTTTAATTTTTTAAAAAACTTTTTTTTGAAAGCCTCAAACAAAAAAAAATTGCTGAAATTGATGCAATCATACTTACGGATTTGGTGGATTAATATAATGAATAGCAACTCTTCCTTCAATACTTCCCAGAGCAAAACCAGTAGGCTTATTCTGTTTGTCTTTAAAAATGGCAACACAGCGATGCTAATGATGTAAAGAATCACACAAGGTCAATTATTTAATTCCATTTTAAATCATACGTGGAAGTTAACAAAATTTGTATGTTCTCTGGAATATGCATTTAAATTTTTTACTGATATATTTTGTTTCTACATAATTTACATTTCTCAACACACATCTCTACTTTTTCTTAAAAAGCCATCTCTTATGACAAAGAATTTTTAAAACAAAAAAAAGTTCAGCAAAACCAAATAATCAGTGTTTCATACTCACAGACCTTCACTTATGCAAAGAAAGGAGGGATATGCCTTAGCATATTTCTTCCTTGGGACCAACCTTGGCCATTCTAATTTCAGTTTTGATTGTTTTGTTTTTTTCATTTACATCGCTGTAATTACTGTGTATATTGTTCTGCTTATTTTACTTTGTTTCAGCTCATCTTAAGTCTTCCCCATCTCCTCTATACTCTATTCTGAGAGCACAGTACTATCACATTATATTCATGTAAACTTGTTTATCCATTCCCTGATAGGACATCTACTTTATTTCCAGTTCACTGCTACCACTATAAAAAAGTGCTGGGTATATTTTGGTGTATATGAGGCCTTTCTTTTTTATCGCTAGCTTCTTTTGATATAATATTATTTTTCATAAAACCACGTTATTTATGTTAACATGTAACGGGTTTATTATTGTTTTTTAATGAATTTATGTCCTTTGGCCACTTTATTTATTGGGTTATCTAACTGGTGTTATATATTTGTATCTTTTCCTAAAAATTGTGGACATCAAACTCTTCTCATTGATACTTGATGTAAATATTTACTTCTTTTCTAATTCTAATCATTTATGCAAATTTTTAAAATCTTATTTTCTTTTATCATCTCCTTTACCTCTTGTTTAGATAGTCTTCTCCTTGCTATCACTATAGAAGGCATCTGATCTCATTTTAATTTTTTATGGACATGTTTCGATCACTTAATCATTTTGAGTTTATTATAGCAAATAGAAACCTAATTTCTGCCAAGTTATTTTCTAGTTTTCTCACCAGTTCTTATCAAAAAGCCCTTACTTACCCTGAGCAATTTAGGTTCTTGGGTTTATCAAACATTGGGACATTATTTTTGATTGCTTCTGTTTCTTATCTAATCTGTTTTCACTGTATCAAATAATTTTGATGGCTTTGCGTATAATATGGCTCGATAATGCTATGCCCCATTCATTTATACTTTTTCTCATTAGTTCCCTTGAGAGTCTAGGTAAGACGCTTTTTTCATAGCAACCCCATGTGATGGGGAGCATCAGTATCTTGACAGCTGAATTAAATGAGGCTCAGAAAAATGCTCAAACTGAGGTCTTACTCCAAGGAGACAACTGCATACTTCTATACTACTGGTTATATAATGAAGTAGTAAGTCACCCCCTTTGAATATTTTAGGATTTAGAGCTAGAAAGAGATCATCCAGCTCAACTTCCTCATTGCAGGGATGAGGAAATTGAATCCCAGACAGGCAAACTTTTATACTGACCTATGCTATTTTATAAATCCAACTATATAAGCTATATTAATTTTTCTTTTATTTTCTATTGCAGTACACTATCATACCATAAACTGCTTAAGAGGAGACTATGGTCCAAAAAGACTTAAAACTCTTTGGGAAACAAATATTTCTTCAATATTTTAAGGATCTATGATTTCACTGTTCTGGGTACTCCTTCCACCGACACATACTTCAACCCTAAAGGAGACTGTTTACATGTGAAAATGTCCATACTTAGGCAAACCGGTCTTCATACAAAAGACACAGACTTCATCACCAGGGACAGAATGATAGAATCTGTCAGACCTTATGCTCTTCTAGTAGAACCCAGGACTGCATCCATGCCACAGGGGATTACTTTTCTCCAAATATGAATTATAACACTTGGAAAAAAAAAAAAGGACAAACAACTACACGAAGATCTAAATCACTGTATTTAATTGCCTCAATATTCAATATTATCCCCTAATTCAAACAATAAGATTTTGGTTACCTAAAAATTTAATGTTTTTCTTTCTAATACTGATTTATGTAACTACAATATGCTCAGATTTTAATGTAATGTACATAACTTAGTACCAGTTGAGATAAAACTTCCTCGACCCTCCCTAGAGGAAGATTTTCTCCAGTACATTATTTACAAGCATAGCACCTTTCATAAGGTACGACTGTAAGTATTCACTGATCTGATGTGTTGTTGCTTACCTGATGTTTAAGAGGAGATTCTATTCTCCTGAATTCAGAAGGCTGATTCTCTAACTGATAAACTATCAGTCCTCTCTCAGCAGTAGCTACAGCTGCCATGGGGTAGACCTAAAGCCAGAAATGAGGAAAAGATGAAAATGCATACTCAATATTAGGATCTAACCATTCTCTTAAAAGCCATTTCCTTTAAAATGAAAGAATATGCTTCCTATAGCCAACTGTTAGAAGTAATGCTATTCAGTCATAAAATTATAAATATGGACATTATTATTATTTCAAGTGAGAATTTAATCGTTCCATACTATTAACACATTCTACTATAACCTGAAAGGTAAACATTTGGGAGACGTTCTTGTGCCTAAAATTGATGACCATTAACAGGGGCTCTACTTCACTATAATATAGCCTTCAAATTTATTATTAAATGTTATAGTCTGGATATTATTTAAGTAAAGAAGTTAGAAGTTTAACATGAAATGGCTCACCACATCAGCACAGTAACATCTTTCAGGCAGTTGCAATGTCATCATAGGACTTGGTGACCGTGTGTCCCAAAACTAGATAAAATGAACATGAACAGTGAGGCTTTGGTTAATCAGAGCTCATGGCCAAATCATTTAATCTTGCCATATCTTTTAAACGGCAAGGACATTATCTCGTCAGTGTGTTATACCTTTAAAGTTTTATCCCAACTTCCTGTCATCACACAACTATAGTTTGGTGCTTTGATCCAATGCACAGTTTTCACAGGAGCATCATGCTTTTCATAAACAAAAACAAAACAAAAAAAAAATTGATTAGAAAAGATAAGGTTGGTGGTGAATACTAAATATCTTCAAGATTCAGTGAAAAACTTTTTCAACTGAATATTCACGTTAATGTTAACATAAAGAACAATGAAGCTCACACATTCAGGTTTTTGCAATCCCCTCCCCTACCCCATTGCCCCATGATAATCTTCATGAAAATACACAAAGGATTTACAGCTGGAAGGAGGACCAGCTTGTACAGTGCCTTCATTCTACAGACAAGGAAGCTGAGGCCTAGAGAGATGGGTGGTAAATACCAGAACTAAGATCCAAACCCAAGCCTCTCCCTCAAATTCAATGTACTTTATCCAATACTATGCTGCCCCAATGGTGATCTCAAAGTTCTATCACTGGCTTTTTTCTCATCTCTCTCTAGTCTCTCCCTTAGTGATCCCATCTATTCTGATAGTCCGATTATTCTGATAATCACAATCTCCTAAGACTATATACCTACATCTGACTTTCCCCTAGAGCTCTAATACCATAGCTTTGACTACCTGTTGGGCATCTTCACTTGGATGTTTCAACAAAACCCCAAGCTCATCAATCTTCCTTCCTACCCACCTTCAAATTCTATTTTTGTTGATGGCACTACTGCTTTCCAGTCACTCTAGTCCGTAAACTCTGAGTCATTTTTGATTCTTGCCATTCTATCTAGGACAGGCCCCAGTCACTGGGGAGGTGGCTCCAACAGAAAAAGGGCCAGCCATCCCCACTGACTACCAACTACTACTCACATGGCAAGCCTTCCAGCCTAGCTGAATTAAGCAGGAGGGTACCCTGGGGGGAACAGAGGAGGCATGTCAAACTATACCCTCACCACCTCCCTTCAGACTCTGCTGGAGATAGATAGCTGAGAACTCTGAGTCCAACAGCTTCTGGAAGAGCAATATTCCCACTCTCAAGTGCCTGTAACCATCACCTTGGGAAGCTACCACTATGGAGATGCAACCTGGTAACAACTCCTGAAGGAGATAAATCTACATTTAGTGAAGACCTAGAAAAGAAAGTTCCTATCACTACAGTCCTTGGTACTGTCAATGTCAGAAAAGGGTATCATTTCATTAGTGGAATGACATTAAAGAAGAGACCATCTGCTTTGCTGCTGGTCCATGGAACTTTCCATCTGACTGGCAGCTGAAACCCTCCATATGTGTTGTCTCCACCATAAAATGTGAGCTCCTTGACAGCAGGGTCTTTTACCTTTTTCTTTGTATCCCCAGCACTTAGCACGGTGCTCTGCACTTAGTAAGTGCTTAATACTTCAATTCACTCATTCAAACAGTTGTCAAGTCCTATTGATTCTCTCTCTGCAACAACTCTCTCAAGTGTGTCCTCCTTTCCATAATCAATTGAAATCTCCCTAGTGCAGGCCCTCATCAATTCTGGCCCTAACTATAGCTTTAAGTCTATCTTCTATTTAATGAATCCTTGGATTAGATATGCAAGGAATCCTTCCAATACTCTGCTATTATTCCACTATTCTGCTACTCAAAAACCTTCACTAGCTCCAGCTTACAAAATGAAATATAAACTCAAGATCCTGAATCAAGGCCTCTCAAAATGAGGTTCCAATCTACTTTTCTGGCATTATGTCATACTACTCCCCTTCATGAGCTCTGTGGTCCAGTCAAACTAGAACTTCCACATTCTCATTCAGGCCTCTTCTGCCTCAGTGCCTTTGCTCATGCCATTATTAACATGAGAAAGCAGGACAGCTAGGCTGATGGAGCAAGAAGGTAGCACTTCCTGCCAATAACCCTAAGAAATGCACATCTTCCTCAATTTTGTTTAACTCAACAAACATTTATTAAGAATCAATTACATGGAAAGAATTGTGAGGTGCTGGGCATACCATGACAAAAAACTAAATAATTCCTACTCCTATGAAGCTCCTGCAGGCAACATATAAAACCAGGAAGAACCCAAGCCTCTGCATTGATATTTCTAATACCGTAGTTATGAACCTAATTGTGTTAACAAGCAGGGAAACAAGAAAGCTAGGTCACTTTGGGCAAAAATTCATTTTCCTTTATACTATAGTCTGAAAAAATGTTATGTGTGACAAAAAGCAATAATTTAAAAAACACTTTGAATAGCCTCAATTGTTTTCCCACCTCAAATCTCTTCCCACTCCAATCCATTTTCCATATAGTTGACAAAGTGAGTTTCCTAAAGTGCAGGTCTGATCATGCTATCCCTCTGAGTCAAATAGCTCCCTATTACCTCTAGAATAAAATACTTCGCATTCACTTGGCACGGAAATGTAACTATACTTAAAACCAGTTTAGTATTTAAAGCTCTTTACAATGAGGCCTCTTTCTCTCTTTCTTGTCTTCTTACACATTACTCTTCCCAACATACTCTCTGGTCCAATGACACTAGGCTATTTGCTCTTCTCCACACCAGGCTCCTCACAACAGCTGTCCTTTATTCTTGAAATGTTTCCTCTTCTCACCTCCACCTCACAATTCTTCACTTTCTTCAAGACTCAGCTCAAATGCCACCTTCACCAAGAGGCCTTTCCTGGTCCCCTCAGCTGCTGGTGTCTTCCTCTCACCTTGTATTTGCTCACTATGTATCTTGTATAAACCCATTTATGTACCTGTTGCTTCTCCCCTTAGAATGCAAGGACCTTGAGGGTTAGGACAGTTTTCACTTTTTCTTTGTATTAGTAGAGCTAAGAACAGTGTTTGACAATGGGCTTAATAAATGCTTGTTGATCGACTGTGAACATCAAATTCAGCATTTCCATAACCATCACTTATAATATTTGTGTGTGTGTGTGTGTGTGTGTCTAAACATATCAATATAGATATCTATACCTATGGAAACACACACAAGAAGTGGACAAAGTGGAAAAGATATACATGACCTGAAAAGGAGGTGGACTGGTCATGTAGTGAGAGTGAAGGTCAACAGTTAAACAACCTGCATTAGTTACCCATGAAAAATGAAAAGAACCATAGGAAGGTCTCTATTATACTGGTTATATCCTCTACAGAGGACTTACAAAAGGATGAGAAAGGCTTTAGAACTCAATCTAATCTAACTCTCTGATTTTACAGAGAAGGAAACTTAGGCCCAGAGAGGATAAGTGACTTGCTCAAAGTCACATAGCTGCCATAAGCTGAGCCAGGATCTGAAGCTATATACTCCAAACCCATCATTCGTGTATTATTCTGCCTCCCACAGTATGGACAGATTTATAGTCTGCACAGGCAGAAGAAGCACTGCCAATAAAATCACAGATACATCCAAGTGTTTCTAGAACTGCATCTGAATATTTCGAGCTAGCTAGTTTAGTAGCGAAAAAAAAAAGAGGGTCTAACAACAATTTTATACATTTACTAAGATAATGAGGGTATAGGACAAAAACACTACCTCTAGACCACATAACTAGAGCAGTTGAAAAGCAATACTTTACATACAATTAAAATTTCCTTATAAAGCCAAGCCACCTAGGGTACAATTCTGTTATTATATATACATCACTGCACACAGAGGACAGGCCTGAAGTATACCAGTCTATGGTAAATATAGCAAGGAACATTCTGTCACTGTAACAGGTACCCACTGTATTCTTAAATAACAGTATAATAAGCCAAACAGCAACACAATGAAAATGAATACTACAGAACAATACTCCACTTGAGAGAGCTTTAAATTTTTATTTCAATTTTATTTTATTTTCAGGTCTGCATTCTCTCCCTCCCTCCTCCTCAAAGGCAAGAAAAACAAAACCTGTTACATACACACAATCAAGCAAAACAAATTCCTGCATTGGCCATGTCTTGTCCCATTCCCCACAATGCTCCTAAAAAAGCCTCAGTCTGCATTCTGAATCCATCACCTTTAAAGAGCTTTTATTACAAAGAAATAAAACTACTTAAGGATCTTTTCCCCCTTTTGCTCTTAGCAAAGGTTAACTTTATATTATATTAATAATATTAAGTTATATCACCTGTGCGATCTGTATAGCTTGGTTACTATTGAGGTCCCACATTTTGGCAGTTTTATCACAAGATGCTGTAAATACTTTACTCCCATCCTAAGAAAGAAAAGGCAAGGAATTGATTATTCTTGTTGTAACAAAACCAAGTCAACTAAATTAACAATTAACTTTTCTTCAAAATAAATTAAGTATTTTGGAATTGAAGTACTGAAAACTATATGACTGTGGAATCACAGAAACAAAGATTTAGAACTGGAAGGGACTTAGAGATCATTTAATTAAACCCTCTCATTTTAAAGATGAGGAAATTGAGGGCTATCTAAAATTTAAAAGACTTGTTTAAAGTCACACAAATAGTAAGGTAGCAGAGCCAGGATTCAAACCTAGGTCTTCTGAATCCAAAATTAGCACTCTATTATGTAATGCTCCATTTGATTTAATTATCTATTTCTATTTTGCTCTAGCTTTATATTTCCCAGCACATGTAGAAAAATCTCATTAAAATGGAATAAAGTCTTACCTGAATTATAAAGTATGTGTAAATAATAAATTTAGTTTTGGTATACCATTTTTGGCACTAAAGACAAATTGTATTAAAACTTTTATAAACTGGCTCAGTGATACATAAAGAAATATGACTTGGTAAACAGAGTACTATATTAGAAGTACTGACTACTACTTACGTCACTGATTCCAACAGAAATTTACCACCATCCTTCCTCTTTTCTGTCCTGTGCCTGTAATTCTCCATCTATAAAACTTAACAGTATCTTCCCTCCAAACTTCATAACTTTATAAGGTTAATTCCATATATGTCCTTAGAGACACCACAGGAAAAATATAATCTTTCAAAGTGTTCTCTGAGCATTATTATTTCTGGTTGTGTAGCTCTAACTGCAGACACCATTAATTTTGTTGTCAATATCACAGAGAATGAGATGGTCAGCTCTACACAGCTATTCCTTTAGGTCTATCATTTTCAAAGTGAAGGAGAGCCTTCTGTCCCTTGGGGGATCAAATTCATGGGACCGAGCAAGAGAATGAGTGAGAACCACTTGGAAAGGCAGTGAGGGAGGGGGAGAAAAAGAGTAAAGAACATACCACTGTAAGGGTACAAGCAATTCAGTTTTATCCCAGGACGGTGACAGATGCTCACTGTCTTTATTGCTATCATTGCAGATCAACTAACTAGTCCCAGTCACTGTGCTCTTCATCCTAAGTATGACTAAAAGGGACAGGAATGCCTACAATGTTCCCTAGATTGAGTCTAAGTCACAAGGGCTATGCCATCCCAGCAACATGACAGAGACATGCTTCATGCTCCCTCCTCTGTTAGCCCCCACCGTCCGGCTGACAAATGGGAGGCAATACGGATGATTTAAGAGAGCAAAGGCTCTTGCCAATCTCACTAGTAAAATGAGGGGGGGGGTCTGACTAGTAGGCCTCTCAGGTCTCTTCTAGCTCTACATCTGTGATCCTATGATTTCAACTACCTCCTAGGGGACACTATCAAGACTTAATGGGCAAACACAGGTGCTAGATAACTTGGTCATTTATATAATGCTCATATATAGTGTAATAGATCCAAAACACCACAGAATTTAAATAGTAGTATCTGGAATAAATTAAATTTATTGCATTGAATTCTATGATTTATAAGATTATATTGCTTGATATGTCATTTTAGACTCTATTTTTATTTATTCCAACAATTCTCACACTACTTCCATACTAACATGTATTAGCCATACTATAGCCAAACTGAAGTACTTTTTGTCCCTTGCATAGGTCTAGTACTCTCAGGTCTGGAGGAATCCTTTACCTTTTAAAATTCTACTCATTTCTTAAGATTAAGCTCATATCACATCTAATTAATAAGCCTCCTCTAATTTTCAATCAGAAAAGTTCTTTCCTTGCACTGACTTTAGGTAGCATCTTGCACTTTATTGCACTTTTGTATTACATTTTGTTTGAGAAGCAGTGTAAGAGCTGGTCTGGGATTTAAGAAGAACTAGACTGAGTCCTATTTCTAAAACATAGGGAGTCTGTAGTTCTGGGCAAGTCACTTAACCTCTCAGTGTCCTATACAACTCTCTTAAATTGTAACATTGCGGAGTAGTTGCTGATGTGCATTATTAAAGGGATTTTCCTCATCAGTATTAACTATATCAATGAAACTACACATCAAGCCTCCTGAAAAAGTTATATTCTGCACAAGTCACTGTATGATTTTGTATACTCCTGCTAGATTATAAAGCTCCACAGGGGGAAAGACCATGTCTTAACTTTCTTTGTATCTCTCTCAACACAAGTAAAAAAATGTTCATATAGAATATATACTTAAAAAATGGAATAAAAGGAATTGTTTACATGTAAGAACAATAAATTAAATTTCTACTTTATCTGTTTCCTTTTCAGAGTGTTTTCATTTCTATTTACTTGTTCTTACAACAATTTTACAATGGAGTAGTTTATTCTGCTTATTTTCCATTTTACATATAAAGAAACTGAGACATGAAAACAGTGACTTGTACAAGGACATATTATTGATTAGAGCTCTATTTTGGACTATCATTCAGATTTTTTAAGTCCTAGCCCACATGAATAATATTTATATGATTTTAAAGTATAAAAGTGGCATTTTTATTCTTACATAAACCAAATATGAACATGAAGGTATGGTTTAGTAAATTATGATGACTTCTTCTGAGCAACTGGACTCATCTTTAAAAACTCATTGACATTTTAACGTGTGCTCTACTAAAATATACCCAGAAATTAAAAATAGGATTTCAAAAAATAAATATCAAATAATGGCATTTTAAACAATTGCTATGTTAGTAGAAAAATGTGTTCTGAGCAGTGTAAATTTTAAAAGAAAAAAAATCTACCCAAATATCTTTAGGTAAAAAAGCCTGTACACTATTAAACATTTCTTTTTTTACACAGAGTACATCTTTCACTTTATGAGATATATATTATGTAGAAAAAGCTCTTTGCATCCTAGATCAAATAACATACTGTCAAACTTGAAAAAACTTCAAGTGGTATAACAAAACACTAAACTTATACTGAGAAACAGGGACTTGTAATGAAGAAGGAAGGAAGGAAGGAGTCTCTTGATGTTTACCCATTTCAAGTCATTAATGGTTGTAGATAACAATAGACTTCAATTGTTAAGAAAATTGTAGAAATTGATAGATACATACATCACTCCAACAGACATCAAGTACGGGCCCTGTGTGCATCTGCTGGGCTTTTGGAATAGTTTGTCCATTATCCTGAACTTCCCAACATCGAACCTGAATTAATAAGAATAATTAATATTACTAGAGCAATTCACATTACATTTAACTAAATCTGATAATGAATAGGGTAATATTAGCCCACCTCTCCCACCAAAAGGAGGGGACAATTACTCCTCTTACAAAAATGATGAAAAGTTCATCAATAATTATGGACCCAAAACCTACTTTCTCATCTCTATAAAAATCATTATGGGAATGATCTACACATTTAAGCTTGGTCCCAAAGAAGAGATTACAAAATGTACCTCCCTCTCTTCTTTGCAGAGATGAGACTATGTACACAGAACAATGCATATGCTCCTAGCTTAAGCTGATATATCAGTTTTACTCCATTGCTCTTTAAAATTTCTTTTTTATCCTTTGTTATAGGGGATGGTTTTCTGGGTGGGAGAGAAAGGAGGGATATATTTGGAAAAGGTGATATAAAAATAAAAGATTTCAATAATTTTTTAAATGACCTACATTACATATGTATTGATGGTATCCTTGATAAAAATATAAAAAAAGAGGCATGCTTTTCTAAAGTAAACCACATCTTCACAGTCATACAATTGACTGGAAGGTGGAGAGGATACAATATTCTGTTTTGTTTTTCACTACTGATTATAAAAAAAAATTTGACTATGTAAAGCAAAACATACTCCCAGAGACTCTCCACTCCACAAGGCGTCTCTAATGAATATATTATTCTTTGGGGCAACTAGAGAGAGGTATCTTTATTTAATGATCTTTTGATTACCAATAGCAAACACGGCAGAACACAGTCATATGCATGCTTGCTCACCAAAAGGTCAGAGAGGATGTTCTATACAGAATCCAAATAGAAGGGGGATTTTCCATAGATGGTAAGGTCTTCCAGATGCTATTTGTAGATGACAGTGCTGACTGCATCAAGCTCCAGAATACTACAGTCTCCTCAATGAGATCCATTATCACTCAAAAGAGATAGGCCTAACAATCCACACAGGAAAAGCCAAAATGATAAAGAATGCCTACTGTCCAGACTATGACATTTAGTTGGATGGGCAACCCAATGAGTTAATCCATTAGTGCACATAGCTGGAACAGGAATTGCAAGTGGACAATTGGTTAGGTCTCAAGTTGAGTAAGAGAGCAGGCTGGACTGCATTTGGGAAATTGCACAGTACTTATGATATTTACAAGTTGATAGTCGTTCAGTGATGCTAACATAGCTGCAACAGAATCTCTGAAGAATCAAAATTAATTTTAAGTAAGCTAAAAGGCAATGGCAATTCACATGATTAAGGGTAAGTAGGTATTGCATATTGTCAATGATGACTGACATGGGCAGCAGTGTGCAAGATCTCATGAAGGAAATATTTTTACTGAAAAAAGGAGGCAGGTGCTCATATAGCAAGGATGAGGGCTGGTGCCCACAGAATGTTAAAAGCCCTAAGTTAAGGTGCTCTGGCAGGTGGCTAGCTCTTTGGTGGGAGATTTATGGGAGTACAAAGAAAAGAATCATATACAATCAGAAGTCATGGGTGGGTTGCAATTTATACTGTGTGAGGCATCAAAGTACCTATAACAAGAAGATCATGGATCCACTGAAGCATTTAAGAATTGACAGTATATAATTTAATTATACCTGGACTGAAAAAAACAAACTTAAAGATATAATTTTTTAAAATATAGGAGTTTAAGAGGAGAAAAACTTACTTAAAAAAAGAAAAAATATATACATATATGGTTTATAGAGAAGACTAATTCTTCAGTCTTTTTCTGATCTTTTAAATGCACGAATGTTTTGTTTCCTTCTACTATATTCTGAGATACTTCAATTTCTAGAAGATGCAGCACTGCATCATTTATCCAAGGGCATAAGGAGAATCTGGTCCACAGTGGAAAATTTCACCCTTCCTCTCAGAATTCTTTGTACCCTCATTAAGTACAACAAATGTGCTTATCATGTTACTGGTGTATTTGGAATTGAAAACATTTTACAACAGATGGTTAGAGACTATTCATTTAGAGTAGTACAAAATGGGGTGTTTAGGTCTCTGTGTACTACATCTGACAACTTCAAATTCAAATAATGGAACATACACCACACACCTGATTTAAGAAGGTGAATCAATATACTATATAGATAATATTCATCAATATCAAAATGGTTTAAAGACTGTATTTATGAGGTTGCACATGATTTATCCTGCTAATAAAGAGAACTAGAACAGTTAACATCCTAGTATGTTACAGGTTTAGAGATTCAAGATTAGTCAAAGACTCTACATAAAGATTTTTCTGTTTGCTCATGAAGTACTATTTTATTAGCCAGGGCATAAATGCCATACCTAATATGCCAAATAATGCCAAAATAAAAACTCACAGTCACTTATAATGATCTATATGAAAAATAACTCATTTATATAACTTTCACTCAGATAACACTTACATCATTGGCCCAGGATCCTGCAATAAGAAAGTTCCCTGGCAATGTAGGTGGGCTAAAAGAAAGACATCCAATACTGTCATCAGGAGAAGATGTAACTTCAATATCCTGTAAAGAGAATTTGTAAATATCGTATTAAAGCTAACCTTAAGTATCAAATGTAATATGATGCCCTTCCTGGTCTCCCAACTTCTAGTGTATCTCTCCCCTCCAAAATTATCTTGTACTTAACTCTGCAAGTTATTATGCATAAACTCATGTGTACATGTTGTCTAATCCAAAAGGATATAAGCTCCCTGAGGTCAGGAACTGTTCATTTTGTTTATGTAACCTAAGTACCTTGTACAATGCCTTGCACACAGAAGGTGCTTCATAAATGTTTATTAATTTTGTCAGTTTAATTGTGCTCTTCCCCTTGTGTTCCTAAATGTCAGAGATCCTCTGGCTGCAATACTACACAAGTGCTAAATTCATTTCTGCTATAAGAGAGATGACAATCTTCCCTTGCTTAACTATTAACAAATACATCATACATGATGGTGAAATTAGAGCATAGCCTCTGTCATAACCCAAATTCCTACTTTCTTCAATGTGGATGCCAGTTACAGGAAAAGGTCACGTTCATTACCTTCATAGGATTATGATTATCTGTTGCTGTGCTACCAAACATGCTCGTCCCACTGGTTCCAAAACCCGAGGTTGTTCCAAACAAGCTCATTTTGGTTCTAAAAAAACAATGGAAAGTATTCATAACAGGCTTTTTCTTAGCAATAAATATCTCTGGGAGGCAAATGCAATAGTGAAATGGTGTAGTACTTTATATTTAATGTATTTCATCATGATCTATTCAGTATTATAGTCATTTGCATCTGTGCTATAACCACCTACTGGGTCATATTTATCTTCCTGTTTTGAGCACTGTGCTCTGGGCATGAATAGCACTTACACTGAACAAGGAAGGGAATAGCAGTCTCTCTCAGATAACAGCAGGATTCTCTTTATGAAAGTAGCCTAAGGGATTGTTCAATTTAACTGATCTTTTGTTTTAAAGTTTTTAAATTTATAATTTAAAATAACAATTAACTGTCAATAAAAACAAACACATAAAACAAGGAGCAAAATCTTACTCAAACTCCCTAGCCTTTAACAAGGCAAACACAAAAGAGTTAACACACAATAAACAAGCATTTTTTTGTTTGTTTGTTTATATCCCCTTCTAGGAAAGCCCAAAATTCTACTACCTTTAGCGATGTTTGTCTTCTTTGGTAGAGACCGGGAAAAAAAATGAAAGAAAAGGAAAGAAAAATATATACATATAGTTGTAACCAGTATGGATATAGTTCTGGTAGTAATCATTTCACTCCGAATCAGTTCATATCCATATTTCCATACTTGCTCGTATGTTTCATTTTAAATGAATATAATAAAATACTATAAAATACTAAAAAAAAAATACTGCAATTCTCCACTACATTAAAATACTCCAATTTATTCAGTAATTCTCAAACTGTTGGAAACATAATTTTTTTTTTGCTAGTAAAGAGCAACTATTAATATTTTATAGAAATAGGCCCTTTTTTCTTTTCGATGATTTTAAGATAGCATCCTTGAAATAGAATCTGGATTTATGACTCTTAATAAATATTGCCATGTGGTTTTCCAAAATGCCTGAACTCGGATAAATATTAATTGTTCATTATTAATGGCTGGATAGACCAAGTCAACATAATAAAAACGACAATATTACCTAAAACTAATTTTACTTATTCAGTATCATACTTTACAGTGCATTATTTTATATTGCTAGCGAAAAGAATCATCTGGAGGTGGTCAAGAATCTCAAGGGCAATAATGAAAAAGAGTGGGAAGGAAGAGGCCCTACAATACCAGATTTCAAACTATAGTAGCAGTAACCATCTAGACAATATGACTAAGAAACAGAGAGGCTGATCAGTGTTACAGATTAAATACACAACATAAATTCATTGATCACAACAGGGTAAGAACTCATTATCTGATAAGAACTGTTGAGAAAACTGGAAAGCAGTTTGGCAAAAACTAGGTAGAGACCAACATCTATCTCACTCTGTTTTCCAAAATAAGATCTAAATGGATACATGACTTAGTTTTAAAAGGTGACATCATAAATTAGAGGAACAAGAAATTATCTTTCAGATCTATGGATATGGGACGAATTCATGACCAAACAAGCAAATTATCATAGGAGATAAAATGTGCATTTTTGATTGTATAAACTTGAAACATCTTGTACAAAGCCAATACAAGCTAAAATTAGAAATAGAGCAGATAAGCTGGAAAAATTTTTGCAGTAAATTTCTCTGATAAGGATCTCATTTCTAAGATAAGGAACTGATCTAAAATTATAAAGATAAGAGCCAGACCCTAGTTGATAAATGGTTGAAAGACATGAATAGGCAACTTTCTAAGGAGGAAATTCAATCTATGAATGCCACATGGAAAAATCTCCAAATCTCTAATAATCAGAGCAATGCAAATTAAAGCAAATCTGAAGTTCTACCTCACACCTATAAGACTGGCAAAACTGACCAAAAAAAAATGACAAAATGTTGGAGGACATGCAGGAAGAAATACACTCTTGGTGGAGCTGTGAAGTGGTCCAAGCCATTGTGGAAAGTAATCTGGAACTATGCTCAAAAAGTCATTAAACTATGAACACTTTCTGACCCAGTCATACCCCATATAGCTCAAAGACATCAAAGAAAAGGGAAAAAAACCCACACATACAAAAATTTTATAGTATCTCTTTTTGTGGAAGCAAAGAATTAGAAACTAAAAAGTTGTCCATCAATAGGAGAATAGCATATGAATATAATGTCATATTATTGTGCTATAAGAAATAATAAAGGAGATGGTTTCAGAGAAAACTATAAAACCATTATGATCTAAAGCACAGTAGTATGCAGAGAACCAGGAGAGCAATTTGAGTAACACTGTGACAAACAACTTTAAGAAATCCGATCAACACAATGACCAACCATAATTCCAGAGAACCCATGATGAACCACGCTACACCCCTCTTGATAGAGAGGCGATGGACTCTGAGTACAGATTGTGGCATATATATTTTTTGGACATGGCCAATACAGGAATTTGTTTGCTTGATTATGCATATTTGTTACAAGGGTTTTGTTTTCTTTTTCCAATACTGGTGGGGGATGGGTGGATGAAGGAGAAAAGATGCACTTTGTTTTGTTTGTCTACCAAGAATTCTGGATTAGCAATGATTTTTGAGTGGTGGTAGGGTGGGGAATTTACATTATTTGATACTGAATTTTCCCTTTTGTATTTCCAAGAGAAATTTTGTGAGCATAAATCTGGTTATTCACTTGTAACACTTAGTTGATGCCCTCAATTTTCTCCCTCAACTTACTACAATGGGTGCCCTCTATTGCAGTCTCTAAAGGAAGACCAACAACTGAATAACATGCTAATTACTGTAATCAGAATGAGAATGTCACCAAAAAGGGATTGAATATATATAAGGGATTAAAGAAGGGTTTTATTTCTTGGCTTCATATCTTCCTAAAAGATGAAATAGATTAGAAACATCCATAGGCAAAATATTTGATGGTTAACAGTAAGAAACCTTTGCCTTCAGAGGGTAAAAGATATGCTTTGAATATCCTTCATGGTCTTATCCTTAAAAGCAACAAAGATGAGAAAAGTTCAGTTATCAGAGTTGAATTCCACATAGAGGGCAAAGGGTAGGGAATTAGAAATTTTAGGTAATAGCTCTACACCATTCACTAGAGCATGGTTTGCTCATCTAGAAAAGGAGGGAACTGCAACATTCCTATTACTAGGACTATATTTTAAAGACGTCAAAAGGCATTTATTTGTTCAAAAATATTTGGAGGATAGGGATAGCTTCAATCTCACATTCTTAGATGTCCATTTAACATTTTAAATTATATGATTCAGAAATATCAAATTCAGCTTGTTCAAAACAGAACTCATATTTCCCTGCAAACCCACCCTTCTCTCAAACTTTCTTATTTCTACTGAAATTCTTCCAGACTTCAGGTTCCTAACCTTGGCATTATCCTCAATTTCTCACTTACCCCTCATTCCACATAGCCAATCAGTTGCCAAATCTTGCTGTTTCTACCTCCATAATAATATTTCTAGAATCTAATCCCTTGTCTCTACTCACACAATCATCAACCTGGTTCAGGCCCTTATTGCTTCTCCACTAGATTCCTACAACAGCTTCTTAACTGGTCTCCCTGTCTCAAGCCTCCCTTCAGTATTCCATCCTCCATGTTACTACCAAAGTAATTTTCCCTAAACACAGATCTGACCATGTCACTCCACTATTCAATGAACTCCAGTGTCTCCCTATTGACTCTAGAATCAAATATCAACTATTCCTTTAGCTTTAGAACCCCTTCACAACCTGGTCCCAACCTACCCCTCTAGCCTTTTTATATATTACACTCCTTCCCACTGTTGTATCCAACCAAACTGGCGTTCTCTGTTCCTCACAGGCCAACAGTCCTGTCTGTGCCTTTTCATTAGCCACCTCCCATACCTCAAATGTATGTCCTTATCACTGACTCATAGAATCCCTCTCTTCCTTCAAGATGCAGCTCCAGAACCACCTTCTACACGAAGCTTTTCTGACCTTCCAAAATGCTAGTGTCCCCTCACTCAAACTACCACATAATTAAAGCATTTTGTATTTGTATTTTGTGGCTCTGTTCACTACCTGTTAGTGGAGTCGTGTTCATTGTAGTTTTATCTTTAGAGCCTAGCAGTGTCCTGGTACATAACAGCTGATTAACCAATACTTCTCCTTTTATTGATTGACAGGAACTGGACATGTGATTTCATTGGAATAGAGAAATTCCAGGTGAGGAAACTCCACCTTACAAGACAGATTAGTATCTTTTCTGAAACTAATAGTCTTAGCACCTAGGCCACTGAGAGATTAAGTGACTTGCCCGATCAGAATCACAGTCATTATGTAACAAGAACAGACTTGAACTGAAGTATTCTGAGGTCAGCGCTTTAACTAGGAAGCTCCATTGCTTGTAAAAATAGCAAAAAATAAACAAAACACACACATTCACACTACAAATAATATGTTTAATAATTGGGAAATAGTTGAATAAATTGTGGGGTATATATATCAATGCAATAAAATAGTACTGTACTGTAAAAAATGGAAATAGAAATACAAAGAAATACTGAAACGAAGTAACTCAAAGATACTAGAATTAGAGAAACATGCACATGAACTACAACTTCATGAAAATAACAAAAACTTATAAATGCACAGATGACAAACTGTTTTTCCTCTTTTCACTTTCTTTTTTTTATTATTTTTAGTTTTCAGCATTCACTTCCAAAAGATTTTGAGTTTTAAATTTTCTCTCCCTCCTTCTCTTCCCCCCTCCCCAAGACAGGGTGCAATCTGATAATGGTTCTACTTAGACACATTCATATTAAGCATATTTTCACATTAGTCATGATGTAAAGAAGAATTAGAACTAATGGGAGGAACCACTAGAAAGAAGAAACAAAACAATAAAAGAAAAGGAGAGCAAATAGTATGCTTCCATCTGTATTCAGACTCCATAGTACAGAGGACAAGTTTCAAGGAAACACAGAAAATAAATTATTACTACTTTGCTAAAGTTAATTTTTTTCTTTTCTCTTTTAAAAATAAAAACATAGGGGCAGCAGGTGGCGCAATGGATAGAGCAACGCCTTTGGAGCTGGGAAGACCTGAGTTCAAATCTGGTCTTGGACACATAACCCTCACTAGCTGTGTGTCTCTGGGCAAGTCACTTAACCCCAATTGTCTCATTAAAAAAAAAAAAAAAGGAAAAAATTAAATAGTTTGGATTTTATGGTTTAATTTGAGGTTCATTTACATAGCCTGTATGTTGAATATTAAGATTACAATAAATTATTTTTTAAAATAACAAGAAAAGATTGAATGGAATCAAATCTACTCTTTCTATATAATTAAGACAAAAAATTTTCCCCACCTGAGTCCAGAAATAACATTTATAGACTGTATCACACAATTTAAAACAATATTTCATATTAAGTAGTTGTTTCATATGTGCAAGTTTTATCTCTCCTAAGAGGCTGAAAGCTCTTTCAGGGCAGGAAATCATATATTATACCAATCTCTGTCTTCCTTTCCTAACACCTAGCACAGGGTTGGACCCACAAGAGGAACTAATCAAGACTTGCCAATGCCCAGAGGCAGTAGTGTATTATATAATGGAAAATGCAATGGATTTAGTAAGAAGATTTAGGATCCATTCCCAAATCTAACACTGGTCCTATAACTACAAGTAAGCCACTTCATCTCTTTCATTCTCAGATTTCACTTACGTATGATAGGGATAATTCACAGAGTTGGTATAAAAAAGTACTTTACCAAGTGCTATGTGAGCTACATTTAGTATAGGAATGTTAAAGTTGTAGGGACTTTAGGATTATCTAGTACAAATTTTAAAGGGCAGGAAATCGACGCTTTAAAAAGTAAAGGACTTGGCCAAAGTCTTACGGCGAACAGAGTGAAGACCTGGGACTCTTGACTCATATCTGTACATCTTTCATTACACAGAATTTTACTATTTTCTCTTACTCAGATACCCTGATAAATCCGTGATGCTAATGGTGCAGATACTCTGTTGAGCAGTACAGACGGGAAACCTTCCAGGGTATGGCTCTAATCCATCAGTGCAGCCTTCTCTCATACAACTCCCCTTTACTCTCTTCTTCTTGCCCCGCCCTCTGTCTTCATGTTTGTTTATACCATCCCCAATTGCTAGATCACTTTTGCTCTTTCTCCACCCTCCTCCCCTCACACAACTCCAGCTCTCTTCCTTTCAAAGCCCAGCTCAAGTGCCACTTTACCTAAGAAACTATCCCTGAAGCCCACAACACCCGTACCAAGTGAAAAACGATCATTCTCAAACTTCTCATAGCACTTGCCTGAACCTCTCCTTGGTCCTTACTTCTCCTTTAATACAAGTAAAGTTTTTTATGCCCAAGACATTGTCCTAGGTTCGGGGAAATAAAAAAATAAAGAGAAAAAAAAGCCCCTGCCCATATTCCATTAGGATGCAGGGGACAAGAACACCAATATGAATGCTATAAAGAATAATAGCTAATAATAATAGCTAACATTTACATAGTACTTACTATGTGCCAGGCACTATGCTAAGCACTTTACAATTACTATCCCATTTGATCCTCACAACAACCCTGGAAGGTAGATGCTATTATTATTCCCATTTTACAGATGAGGAAACTGAGGCAAACAGAGGCTAAGTGACTTGCCCAAGGTCACACAGTAAGTATCTAAAGAAGAAAGTAATGGGGCAAAGAAGAGGTGTAGAAAATTCTCTAGGAAAATTTGGGGGAGAGATTACTTTCAGCTGAGGCAGGAAGAGAGGAAAGGGGAAAGGATCTGACATGGCTTCATAAAGAAAATGGCACATAAGCTGTTTTAAGAATTTCAACGGGTAGAGATGAGGAAAGCATGAGAGATAGCTTGCACAAATGTGGGAGAGGTTAAGAGAAGACCAAGAACAACTAGTAATGCAAATTGGTTAAGGATCAAATAAGTTTACATGCTGAGTGTTTTGCAAATTTTAAAGGGCTTTACAAATGTTAGTCATTATTACTATTAAGACACAGAGCAGCTAGGTGAGGCAGTGGATAGAGTGCTAAGCCTGGAATCGGAAGACTCATCTTCGTGAGTTCAAATTTGACCTCAGACACTTATTAGCTGTGTGACCCTGGGCAAGTCACTTAACCCTGTCTGCCTAGTTTCTTCATTTATAAAATAAGCTGGAGAAGGACATGACAAACCACTTCAGTATCTCTGCCAAGAAAATCCCCAATGGGGTCATGAAGAGTCAGACACAATTTGAACTGACTGAACAACAATAACTAAGACACAGAGGGAAATAATGGGAAAGAAGGCTCACAACATAGGTAGGCAGGAGCCTGAAGATGGGAGGCTTTAAAGACTAGGGTGAGTTTTAAGGGTGCCACTGAAAGCTTTTAAGAGGGGGAATGTATATGATATCGAACATGTGCATAACATGACAGGTAGAGGGGCTGGACTTGAAGTCAAGAAGACATAGGCTCAAATTCAGACCCTGACACTTGACAGGCAAGTTACCTCTCTGAACATTTGTCTTGCCTCTGTAAAAAAGGGGTTAATAAAATTGTAGCATCTACCTCACAGGATTGTTGTGAGGAGCATATGAGAGATAAATTACAACTTTGGAAGCGTTAGGGTGCTAGGCAAATGTCATCTATTGGTTACAGCAGCTATGTATTAGAAAGATTATTTTAGCAGAGACTTGAAAGGGCTGAGCCTGGAGGGAGGTAGGCACCAGTTAGGAGGCTCATATACTAGTGAGAGGCTATCTAAAGATGTGAATTCAGATGGGAGTCCAGGAGTGCACCAGATACTGATAGTAACACCAGCTGCTTCTGTCCATGTGCTTCCCTTTTATTTGAATGGAGCTCCTTGGGATGAGGGCCTGTGCAATACAAAGAATACTCCCTAGTTATGGTATCAGACCTGGCTTCTGATCCCTGCTCTGAACATTAACTCTGTACTCCTGGCAGAGTCATTTGAGCCTCTTATCTGTAAAAAGATGCTACCTGCCCTTTTCAAACCTTAAAGTGGTTGGGAAATGTGAGTGATGGTTGTTATTTTCTATCTTGGTACAGTCTCCAGTATCTAGCATAGGACTTTGTAGAGAAGAGACTCTTCCTAAGAACTGGCAGCTCTGATATAGTGTATGGAGCCAAGAATTAGGGGTCAGAAGCCCTCCAGTTTGAACTGCAACTCTTCTCCTTATTTTGTGGGTCCTTTAAGAAAAATGACCACACTTCTGCGGCTTCAATTCCATCTGTAAAATATGAGATTGGGGGGAAATGATGACTACTCCTGCCAATTATTTCTCCTACTGATTATGGCTTTATCATTTCCCCCACAATCTCCTACCTTTACCTGGAATGCTGTTTGGGGATGAAGAGGAATGAACCCTTCTCCCAAGGTTGGTACATGGGGACACAGGTGAAAAAGCACCAGGCCTGAAGTCAGGAAGACCTGAGTTCAAACATGGCCTCAGCCACTTACTAGCTGTGTGACCCTGGGCAAGTCATCTGCTTGCCTCATTTGTAAATTGCCTCACCTGTAAGTTTCCTCATCTGTAAGATGGAAAGGATAACACCCACTTCCCAGGGTAGTTGTAAGGATTAAATGAAATAATAATTGTAAAGTGCTTAGCAAAGTGCCTGGCACATAGTAGGCACTATATGAGTTAGTAGTAGTAACATTAATATTATTGTTAATCCTCCTCACAAGCTCAGAGGAAAGAGCATAGGACTTAAGGTCAGATCCATGGTCGGATCGTTCTCAGTTATGGCTGATTTTGCAGATTTTCCTCTCTGCAAAACGGGAACAGCCACACTTGCAGAGATGCAGCGAGGAAAGCACTTTGCACAGCACTCTGGCTGCGTGAGCTAGAAGGTCCAGGGGAAGGGGCCCCGGCACAGCAGGGGAACCGAGGGCAGGGTCGGGGTACAGCGTGGGGCGGGGGAGCAGGGCTGCGGCACAGCAGGAGGGCGGGAAAGCAACGCGCTATGGGGAGGGGGGCACGCCTAGGCCACGAGACCCTAGGCCACGAGACCCTGGGCCACAGGCTGTCTCCCCCACGCCGGGGGCCGGGCAGCGGGAAGTCCCCTCCGAAGGCGCCGCGTGGGGCCTACCTGAGAGCTGGGGCCGCACTCGGATAACAGGAAGAACCGGGAGAATTTCACCCCGCGCCTGACGTGAAGGAAGCGAAAGGCAGGAAGCCGAGACGAGTAGAAAGGCCTAGGATTTTCCACCGGCCGGGAGGCTTCCGAAAATACGGGACTCCCCTAGAACTGTTGAACACGCATGCGCGTCGGAAGCCGAGCGCCTCATTCCCGGAAAAAGGGGAAAAACGAGAGACACCAGGGGATAGGCTGGCTTGGCACATGCGCAGAAGCCCCGTCGAGGCTAAACGGAAGCTGTGATAGTTGTCAAAAGCTAGGAATAAGGGAGTAACGTAATGAGGAACAACCCAAGTAAAGACAGTTTATAGAATTCAAAGTTCCCTTTCATGTGAATTTAGTCAGATGTGTTGCTGCGATTCGGTGGGTAGGGAGCTGGCCACAGAATCAGCAGTAAAAGTCCTGCCTCTGTCACCGAACCTCAGTTCAGTGGAGAACGCTCTCTGAAACGGGGTTCTTTTTAACCGTTTTTGTATCTTGGACCCCCGCAGTAATGTGCTGGGAAATGTTTAACAACCGACACACCGGAAGGGAAAAAAAAAGGGACACACTTCTAAAGTTTAATTTGCATTACTAGCATTTTCTCCATCACTTTTTAGTCTAGACAATCAACAGAACAATAAAGTCCTAATTTGTAGCATTTGCCGATTTCTGAGGTGTAGATGCTCACGTTGCAAATTTAACATTCGAATTGAGAGGCTTTTTGAGTTGACTCTTGCAAACCACTGCATGGACTCTGGGAAGTCTGAGGAAGTCTATGGAACTCGTCCCAGAATAATGTTTTGAAATGCATACACTAGGATTAAGGAAGAAAACAACTCTATTGAAATACAACTATCAAAGTATTTTTAAAAACCAAGTTCTTGGGACCCTAAGTTAAGAGCCCCTGCTCTAAAACCAAAGCTGCTGAACAGGTACCTATTTGCATTGGTAGAGGAAGTTTCCCAACAATGTGAGTTCTCTTCCCAGATAAAATCACAGGTGCCCGAGGTAAAAAAGTTTAAATTACATACATATATAAAATACATATATGTATATATACACATACATATATAAAATACATATATGTATATATACACATACATACACACATACATATGTGTGTATGTGTATGTGTATACATATATGTATACTGTTCAGATTTAATTCTCAAGGCACGCCATTGCTCAGGAAATTCCATTCCGAAAGGCGAAGGCACTTTTATTTTTTCGTGTCAACTAACCCTTGTAGCAGTTTGGTGAAACTTATGAACCTCCTTTCAGAAAAATGTTTTGCATAATTGAAGGAAATGATAAGTTTCGTTTATAGGCTAGTGAAAATAAATGTGTAACTTCTTTTCCCCCCTCATCCCCATTCAAGTTCATGGATCCTTGAAATCTGTCCAGGAGCCGGTGGACCTAGAGGTTCTCTTTCTCAGCTTTAGGATAAAATACAAACCAACCCCTCTGTATTTGGAATTTAAAGGTCTTCATAAATTTGGCTCCAGCCTGCTTTTCCAGGCGTGTTCCACATTACTGTCTACTCATGCCACATTCCTTCCAAATCGTCCAGAACTTACAGCTCCAAATCTTTCTTTGCAAAAGCAGGTTTCTCCTACGTGGCATATGTAGCCTCCCCTCAAAAACCCCTAGCTTCTTTCAAATATCTGCCCAAGTGCTGGCTCTTAGAGGAAATTTATTCTCACTTGCTAGCGTTCTCCAAGAAATTATTTCTTATTTAATTTTTTATGTACATATTTTTTTTTTGAAATAAACTCTTTAAAACAGACTGCCGTTTTTGTCTTTATGTCTCCAGCACTTTGCATAGTTCCAGGCAAATAGCAGGTGCTTAATAAATGCCTGTTAAAATAAATGGAATTGAAATAATTTTTTTTTTGCCACGATTTTGCCTATAGACCTTTACTGATTCATCTCCATCAGGAAGCTTCTTCTGATTAGAGCTGACCACCTTAGCAATCCTACATTATGTCCCTGACACTGGGATGCCCTCATAATTACTGTCTATATGGAATTGTAGTGTGTTACAGCTGGAATTGTTCAGTTGCCTCCCTGAAGCACTGACTAGATTTCTAACAGGAAAGGCTGTTTTTACCCTTAACTATTTAATACCAAACTCCTAGTACATAATAACCCATGTTTGTACATTGATTAAGTTTTACAAAGTGCTTTTTCTCACAGCAATCCTGTGATATATGAAAGGAAACTATTCCTATCCTCTTTTTGCAGTCAAGAGAGCTCAAAGTTAAGTAACTTTACATGCATCACCTTACCTTGGACTCATGACCTAAATAACTCAATTTAAGTATTTATTTAGTGTTGAATAATATAGCACATAATTTGTATAACAAGGTCTATCTTATCCAAGGGAATTTAATTATTAGGTCTATCAGAAACAAAGATGTTTTTAAAATATGGCTTCATCTGATAATGATCCCAAAACATAGTTTTTGGCAAACCGACCTTCTTGCTGTCCAGAAGTTTTTTGACTGATAGTTACATATTTTGCCATCTTATACAAACAATATAGCAGTATTTTTGCCCAAGAGTAAAAAGGAAGATGGAAAGCTACCAAGTTGTAGTAATTGCCCATATCTATTGATTTTCCTTCTGACTTAATATAATGGTATTTAAAAGGAAGAAGTCATCAATTGGGGAATGGCTGAACAAGTTGTGGTGCATGAATGTGATGGAATACTATTATGCTATAAGAAATGATGAACAGGCTGACTTCAGAAAAACCTGGAAAGACTTGTATGGTCTGATGCTGAGTGAAGTGAGCAGAACCAAGAGAACGTTGTACACAGTAACAGCCACATTGTGTGATGACTAATATTGATAAATTTAACCCTTCCTGGCAATACAAGGATCTAAGACATCTCCAGAGGCCTTGTGATGGAAAATGCTATCCACACTCAAAGAACTATGGAAGATGAATTGTTATTTTTTTTCTCTTCTGTTGAGTTTTGTTTTCTCTTTCTGATGGTTCCTCCTATTGGTTTTAATTTCTACTTACAATATCACTAATGTGAAAATATGTTTAATATGAATGTAAATGTATAGCCTATATCAGATTGTGCGCCGTCTTGGGGAGAGTGGTGGGGTGGAAGGGGGAGAAAAATTTTAAACTCAAAATCACATGGAAGTGATTATTGATAAATCAAAATAAATTAATAAAAAATTTAAAAAAAGGAAGAAGTCAAGTTTATCTTTGCTTAAGCATTTTAATGTCTCTATGGGCCATTTTCATTTATATGAATATTTGGCATTTAGCCATTTTGTGAAAAACAGTTTACATTCCATTTCTGTGTTAACATATATTGTAATTATCTTGACATTAGTCTATTAAGTTTTTATATTGAAAAAAACCCAGTTATAAGGGTGCTCAAAAACTCTAAAGACAGATTTCTTTTCCTGTGGTCCATGAACTTGCTTTGTAAAAAAATTTGATAACTGTATTTCAGTATAATTGGTTTCCTTTGTAATTATATGTATTTTATTTTATGTATTTTAAAACATTCTGAGAAAGGGTTTATAGACTTCACCAGATTGCTATGACACAAAAAAATTTAAGGCTTTCTTTTCTAAAGGATCTATAATCTCAGTGATTTGAGAGTTGCCTTTAACAATACAGACTGAAACCCACCCAAGACTGCCCAAACTATTAAACTCCTTGTATTCCCAAGAGTTTAGCACCAGGGTTCCACCCAATGTACTAGAGGCCTTCCTTGCTTTCTCCAACATCTTAAGGATACCAGTGGAGCATTCTGGCTGTCCACCTGTCTATCATTCTGAATTCTTACCACATGATCAGTTCATCTTCTCTTCTTGTCATACAATTTCTTTTTTTTTTTCTTTTGGGCAATGGGGGTTAAGTGACTTGCCTAGGGTCACGTAGCTAGTAAGTATGTCATACAATTTCTTGATATCATCTTTACTTCTGTTCTTCGGAATTCTTTGTTATATGTTGCAGTTTGCTCACGCCTACCATATACCTTCCTTTGTCTTCCATGATACTCATCTTTAGTGCTTTGAAGGTAGTAGTTCCACAACCTGCTGCCAATGTTCTAGTTGATTTCCTGAGGACAGCAAACGTTAAATTGAAAGGGTAGAGTGTAAGAGGAGTGTTCAATGATCCCATCTCAATAATTACTGAAGCCCAGACTTCTCAACTTAACCATGCAGAGCTATGAACTAGGAGTGAATAAGGCCTCGCTATTTCTATTGAATCAATCCATCTAAGATATAAGATAAGGTCTGAACAATCATTCAAAGGAAGAATGAAATGCTTTTGAGTCACTGGATAAAAGCAAATGAACCTCACAGGAAATGTATTGTGGTGGTGGAGGAATGTCAGTCACTCACTGCAGGGCTTGGATAGAAACAGCAAGCCAGTTTGGAATCCAGGAATTCCAGTAACAGGCCAGACTAAGCATTTCCAGCCAAATCCTTGAAAGGGAATAATTTGGGAAGAACAGAGTTTTTGTCTCCTCTCCTTCTCCACCTTGACCAGAGGATGACTTCATAAGCTTTGAAAAGTTAGACTTCTCATGAGTATCATAGACAATCTAGGTAGGTACCAATTAGTGTGAACAATGAATTCTGTGAAATGGTCACATTATTCAAATTCACATTATTCAAAGTTATAATTACATATGTAAAATATAGTAATTTGTTCTAGTCCCATGGAAATATGAAGTTAAAAAATGTCTAAATAAGTTTTAGTATATTTATTAATATGACAGCACTGAATAAGAAAACTAGCACAGTAGATAGAGCACTGGACTTGGAATCAGAAGACTCATCTTCCAGAGTTCAATTCTAGCCTCAGACACTATCTCTGTGACCCTGGGCAAGTGACTCAACCTTGTTTGCCTCAGTTTCTCATCTGTAAAATGAGCGGGAGGAGGAAACAGCAAACCACTCCAGCATCTTTGCTAAGAAAACCCCCAAATGGGGTTATGAAGATTTGAATGTGACTATAATGACTGAACAATTTCTGATTCATTTATTGAAAAATAATTGAGTAGTTAGAAAAAGCAAATTTTTTAAATTAAAAAATTACTGAATATTGTATATAAAGATAAGCTTGCACTAATGACATGATAAAATTGTCATTTAAAATATTTTATTAGCATAAATTAAAT